GAAAGGAGGAGACAAGAAGAGGGAGAGAGGGAATTGACGGATTGGGGTGGTGGTGGGGGGACGTCGATGCCCAAATGCAAACAAGAAGAGAGGGGCAGTGACGAAGAAGAAGGAGGGGGGAAGCTGCGTTACATGCAGGACTGACGCCGTGTGCGGCCTATCTCTGGCCGCTATCTGCCCTCGCGCTGCCACCGGTGAAATACGGCAGGAAGGACACGAAACGGCCATTGCGGCACCCGTCCGCGGCGAAACCGGAAAAAAAAGGGAGAGGCGCATCAACGATGAAGCGGACGTCAGGGAGTCAAAGTCGTGGCAGCGGCCCGCATCCCTTCAATGGGAAGAGCGCGCCTGCGTGGCATGCGCCTGCCGCAGTGAGGCAGCCTCCCTGGAAGCTCCCAGCCCACTACTGTCCCGGCAGACACACGGACGGGAGCAGACACACCCATGCTTGCTTGAAAAATAAATAAATAAGTAAACACACACACACACACACACACGTACGCGTCACAGCGCTATCAACGCCGCGCACAAAACGGAGAGGGGCAGCAGGAAGAGGAAAGAAGAAAAAGTAAAAGCAAAACATATGCACTGCTAAGAATGGAGAGAAGAAAAAGGGCAGCCCTCAAACCACAGACGTGGCCCAACACCGCATCAATGCCAGAGGTGGGCACAGAACAGACCGCCCTGTGAGAAATACGAAGTGATGGTCTTAGGGAGCAGGCATCCACTAGTGGATGACTACATGGCAATGACGCACTCGCAGGGATAACACTCACGCTCCGAGTCGTAGTGTAGGGCGTTCAGTTCTACGCACTCCAACACGATGGCGCCGTTAGTACCTCCGCCGCTGAGTGTTACATGCCCAAACTCCTGTCGTATGTGTGTGGCGTCGAATGAAATGCGAGGACGTGGCTTTGCCACCGCTCCACAGCCCTCTTGAGTCGCCTCGCCACCCCTCCACTTGGTGTTCAGCAGCGTCATATGCAGCAACTCACTCTGTTTTTTCCCATAAGGGTCGTTCACGGTGAGCTCCGCAAAGCATTCATGCACAAGCTTCTGAAGCGTGGCGAGCAGCGACGTCGAGGCGGCATCCGCAAGCCCCATGTACAACACATCTGCCTTCTTCTCGTTGCGTCCGCGCCCCTTCATCACATGCAGACCACCAAGATGAATCTGCAACACGCCGCACTCGTCGTCAGCGGCCTCGGTGACATTGGTGCTGCGTGGTGTTTCCTGCCACGTCCGTATCTTCTTCTCCAGTGCCTGCATGCACACCTTGGCCAGTGCAACCGCCGCCTGTGTTGGAAGCGACAGCATGAGGAGAGTGATGTGCATGCGAGAGGCGGTGGTGAAGATGTCGTCTGTCACCATCGCCGTCGGGTCGACACAGCGGTGCCTCATCGCCTCCAGCAGGAGCGTTGCATTCGCCCGCACAGCAGGCAACTTTCCAATCGGGAGCGACACAAAATGCGTGTACGACGCCGTCGCCCACGGGCCAGCGTCGCCGCCCCGCCTCTCTACGGAAGACTCCGCCTTCACCCACCCCGTGCTGCCCACCACCCGGCCGCCGTGCGGTTCGGCTGCAGCGGCGGTAAGACGATAGCAACGCCCATGCGGGAGGGTCAAAATACGCACCATCGGGTCCTCCGACACACCGTGGTTGCCGCAGCGCCACCCCACGGCCCCGTTGCCGTCGTCAACGACACCTCCGCGCAGGTCGTCCATCACCACGCCCGGCTCCACCGCAAGACAAACACCACACACGCGACGGGGGTCGACACTCACGTGCGAACACGCAGGACATAGCCACCCACGCCGCCGCGGCTGAGCTGCTCCAACGAAATCTCTTCTACGGAAGCCCCTCGCCCCTGTTCTGCGTCGTACGTCAAACGCGTACCCACAACCACCAGACGCCGGTACCGCAACGCTGATCATAATTACAACCTTCCTCTCTCCTACGCAGAGAACAATTCGGGTACCACTCTCCTGGGGCTGTGCAGACACTCCCACGTGAGAACCTTCCAAACCCCAAAATACAGACCACACCCACAACAAAAATAAAAAAAACAATAGTTACACCACACTACCACTGACAAACGAAGCACAGCAACGCCAAAACACAAACACCAACGCTACAGAAACAAAATACAACAACTAATAAAAATAATGCTCACAAAACCAAAACAAAAAACGATATACCCTAACCAACAACAGCAACACTACAATACCCACCACAAGCCTACACTTGTTAAATAATCATCCTACAGCTGGCCCGTAGCAACCCAAAAC